GGTCACGGTTATACAATCACACACGTTTGTCACACCAAGTGCATCTACTGCATGTACTTCATGTCTCCATTTTTTTAAGTTATAAAAATATAAACCTAACCTGGCTTAGAGCCCTGCTATTTATTCAGAGAATGGTCAAGGCCCTCAATTCCTCAAGGTTTAGCCCCGGGGGAGGCTGGGTCCTTGCTTTCCATCCCCCCAACCTTCCTGTGCTGTCTGAGTGATGCTTTGGGGTTACATCCCAGCAAGGGGCAGTGAGAGTGCCCAGGTGTCGCCCTGACACCTCAGTGGCCCCTCCAGAAAGCCTGGGAGAGGACAGACAGTCCTCCCTGTGGAGTCTGGACAGCCTGGCGCTTCTGACCATGAGCAGGGAGGTAGGTACCTGGGTGCCTGATCTTGTTTCCCTTTTCTCTGTGGCTACCAGGAAGCTCAAAGCTAAACCTGAGGCCCAATCATAGCGACTGTGGAGGACCCAGGGGCCAGCATGCACACCCACTCTGTGTTTCATTACGGCCTTGACAGTCCAGCCCAGCTTGTATTCCCTAGTCCTGATCTATAACGCTTATGCTGTGGTCTGATTTATAATCCTGTTAGCTGTGAGTGCCCTACGGTCTCCCCAGGGGTTGGGGTTGGACTTGGACTTCCTGCTAGCCCTACAGCGCATAGCTCAGGGTCCAGCCCTCAGGACAAGCTCTGTAAGTGCCTGTGACGTAAATGACAGATGTCGACACCTTTAAAGGACAAAGAGGTTTGTCATTAAGATGACTCTTTGGATGGGGAGAGGGGGACACACAGAGAAGCAGGTGGGAGTGGGGGTGGGGAGAGAGACAGACAGAGGGGTGGGCAGGGGAGAGAGACCGAGAACAGAACTGGCTCCGGGCCTCTGGGGAAGAGGCAGGGGGCCAGCCCTGCCCTAGTGTGGATGGGGGTAGGAAGGCTTGAGGGAAGGAGGACGCCCCTTTCCCCGGCGCAGAGGAGGACAGGGCTCCTCCGTTCCTCCGCCCACACTGGATTCAGCCCTGTCCCTGCTCCGCACGCTGAGAGCGTTCTGTGGCCTCTGCTGCCCCCCAGAGGTGTTCTCTGGTAACGCAGGCACTCCCCACCCAGCTCTCCCTGGGGCTGGGGGCCGCCCTGCAGCTCATTCCTGCCAGACCCAACTCAGATCCCGGCCTGGGCTCGGCTGGGGGCTCTGGGTGCGTCTACACGATGCAAAATCCCCTGCCACCATGGCCAGGAGTACATTCCCTTCTTTCCCCTTTTTATTTCTTTTCTGAAATATGCTAAAAATTCAAATAGTACAGAAATGTGTGACCATGGAAACTGATAAAAGTCCCAACTATTTCTTCACCCCCACCACGCCAAAATGTCACGTCTGTGACAAAGTGTCATTACTGACCTTTTCACCAGGCAGTAGATCCTGTGTTTCTAGGACCTCTTTGCTTATAGGTCCATCTTATTTTTCAAAGTTGTTTTCCTAGGGGAGTATTTCCACCTTGCTTTCAACCTCCTTTGAAATCTTGCCTGTTCCATTTGTCGGGGTGGAGTTACTCCTGTTTCTACCTGACTGCCCTGACCTTCAGCTATTTGCTCATCACGGGTCTCTTCTCTGCAGTGAGGTGGTGGGCATCTGGGGGTCCCCTCACACCAGCTCCTAACAGAAAATGTTCATTGACTGAGTGACCAAGCAAACATTTCACTCCTGGATGGATGGAAGAATGGATGGACGGATGGATGGACACATGGATGGATGGATGAATGGATGAGCGACCTCAGCACTTTCAGAGAAAGCCCCCAGCGATGCAGTGCAGGCCCAGGCAGTGGGAAGCAGACCTGTGAGCACTGAGGAGCTGAGGTGACAGCACCTGGGCAGGACACTGGCCACACCTGCTGTGCACAGAGGCTGGCTTCACCCTGGATCCCTCTGTGTACTGGGATATTGTAGGGTATGAACATGTTAGCTATTCTAACAACAACAACGATATCAGTAAATTTCAGGAAAGAAGAAAAGAAATAAGACTCCATCTACCGGGACTTAGGTGTGGAAAAGTGAATCCAAAACCTCCGAGCGCCAGACGCTTGCCCACCTGTTCCATCACTCAGCTGCCCACTCCCCAGACATCACTTGGGACCCGGCTGAGCTGCAGCTTCCTGAGGACGGCTTGGCGGCACCCAGCTGCGAAGAGCCCTGGAACCTGGGCCCCAGCCCCACACTGCTCCCCCGGTGCTCGCCACACCTGTCAGTCCTGGTTCCGTGTCTGCCCCCCTCCCCACCATGGGCTACAGGACAGGGCCCTTGGAATCCTCGGCACCTACACAGGCTTAGGTCACTGAGCACAATATTCTAAAGGCTCATCCAGGACTTCCCTGGTGGCGCAGTGATTAAGAATCCACCTGCCGATGCAGGGGACACGGGTTCAAGCCCTGGTCCGGAAGATCCCACATGCTGTGGAGCAACTAAGCCCATGAGCCACAGCTACTGAGCCTGCGTTCTAGAGCCCGCGAGCCACAACTACTGAAGCCCGCGTGCATAGAGCCCGTGCTCCGCAACAAGAGAAGCTACTGCAATGAGAAGCCCGTGCACTGCAAGAGTAGCCCCCGCTCTCAGCAACTAGAGAAAGCCTGCGCGCAGCAACGAAGACCCAACGCAGCCAAAAATAAATTAATTAATTAATTTAAAAAAATTGCCATCTCTCAAGCCACTAAAAAAAAAAGTTTAAAAAAAGAGGCCCATCCACGTTGTAACAGGTGTCAAGATTTCCTTCCTTCTTAAGGCTGAATGATTTCCCACTGTAGGGACAGACCACACTGTGTTTGTCCGTCTATCTGTGCATGGACACTTGGGTTGCTTCCACTTTCTGGCTACAGTGAATAATGCTGCTGTGAACGTGGGTGTGCATGTTGACATATCGCTTCAAGACCCAGCTTTCAATTCCTTTGGGCAAACCCAGAAGTGGAATTGCTGGATCACAGTGTTTTGAGGAACTGCCACGTGGCTTTCACGCCACGGCCGCACCATTTTACAGCCCGTGAACAGTGCCCGAGGGCGCCGATTCCTCCACACCCCAGCCAACACGTGCTTCCCCTACATCTGTGCTCGCACTTTAGCCACCCCAATGGGTGTGGCAGGCCTGCACACCCCAGCCAACACGTGCTTCCCCTACATCTGTGCTCGCACTTTAGCCACCCCAATGGGTGTGGCGGGCCTGCACACCCCAGCCAACACGTGCTTCCCCTACATCTGTGCTCGCACTTTAGCCACCCCAATGGGTGGCGCCTGCTTTGGGTTGGGGTGAGAGGTTCCTATCGTTTCTCTGCTCTTTGCTTGAATCGTTTACTTGCCCTTCTTCAATTTACACAGCTTAGGGTTCACTCATGACACACAGTTCCAAGAGTGTAGACAAATACACAGTCCTGCAAACACCATCACAGCCAAGATACAGCAGATCCCTCATCCCCTGGTGCCCCCCCATTTGCATTCAAACCTGCCCCTCACCCCCACTCTGCAACCACTGATCCATAATCCTGCCTTTTCCGGAACATCACATGAATGGACTCACGGAGCACACTGCCTTCTGTGCTTGGCTTCCTTCCTTCCTTGTACTGTTTTGGGGTCCATCCACACTGTCACGTGCCCAGAGTAATGATCTATCACGTGGATGGACCCCAGTTTGTTATCCGTTCACCTGCTGGAAACATTTGGGTTGTGTTCCGTTTTTGGTCACTATGAAGAAAGCCACTATGAACATAATTGTTGGTGTGGACATAATTTTCATTTCTCCTGGGTAAATACCCAGGAATGGGATTGCTGAGTCACATGGTAGGTGTATATTCCCCTTTATGAGAAGCAGCTAAACTGCTTTTCACAGTGCCTGCCCGGATTGGCCCTCCCAGCAGCAAGGCAGCGACGCTCCAGTTGCTCCGAGTTCCTGCCAGCACTTGGTGTGGCCGGACCCTGTTGAGTTTAGTTGTGTGTTTTGCTGGGGACACTCTAGTGGGATTTAGCCACATCTTCTGTGGTCATCAGTTCACCTCGACACACAGAACCACAGACGCTGGGATTTGGAAAGGCCTTCAAAACACTTTGAGTCCAGGGCTTCCCTGGTGGCACAGTGGTTAAGAATCTGCCTGCCAATGCAGGGGACACAGGTTCGAGCCCTGGTCCGGGAAGATCCCACATGCCGCGGAGCAAATAAGTCCATGCACCACAACTACTGAGCCTGCACTCTAGAGCTCGCGAGTCACAACTACTGAGCCCGTGTGCTACAGCTACCCATGTGCCTCAAGCCCGTGTTCCGCAACAAAGACAGGCCACTGCAATGAGAAGCCCGCGCACCACAACGAAGAGTAGCCCTGGCTCGCTGCAACCAGAGAAAGGCCACGTGCAGCAATGAAGACCCAGCACCAAAAAAAAAAAATACATAAATAAATTAAAATAAAAAAACAAATAACACTTTGAGTCCAGTCTCCCCAGCGCAGACATCCTGGTACCGTCCTTAGCCCCGATGACCACCTGGTCCCAACGCCTCCACAGGGAGGGCGATCACCACCTCCCATGGAAGGCCCTGGCATTCCTGGAAAGTTCTGTTGGTCAGAAAGTCCATGTGCTGTGCCCAATCTACCTTCTCAGAACCTCCATGTGGTACAGGCCCTGGGCCCAGCCCACACACACAGAATGGGCCCTCAGGAAGGTGGGCCCGACCTCCCAGCCCACTCCGCTCCCTCCCTGCTCAGACAAAACCAACTCCAGTCCATCCCCCAGGGCCCTGTCCCCATCAGAGGGCTGGAGCACAGAGGAATGGAACAGAGGCACCTGGAGGCCACCCGGCCAATCTGCCCATTTTACAGATGAGGAAACAGAGGCCCGGAGCAGGGAAGGGAATTTGTCCAAGGTCATCAGCAAGTTAGTGCCAGGGCCTGGGGGCAGGGCTTGGGTTTCTTTCCACTTCATCCTGCCCCCTCCCTAGCCCCACCCACCACTCTGGACCCACTGCTTTACACACCAACTTGAATGCGATCCAATTGGGCAAACGTTTATCAAAGCTGCACGCTGGCTTTCCGTCCTCTCCCTGTAAAAGAAAAGAGTACGAACAATAACCAGCCTGGCAGTCTTTGTCGTTTGGCTTGACATGGGGCAACAAGACGGCTTCTTATCAGGGGAAATAACTTCTTAAAATATTGAAAGAAAGGCTTTCAGAAATTGCACATGGATTAAGGTTTCATTTACTAAAGAACTAAACAAATAGTGCAAGATGTGGGTACAAGGCAGTTTTCAATATTTCTAACGAGGGCAGGAAGCCTCACTCCAGTAACAAAAAGATTGTAATATTTGAGCTTGACTAAGTTCAGCAGAAAACAAAGTGACAAGCTAAACTCTCAATTCTGTGCCCTGCAGGAATTAGGTCCAAAAATAGAGGATTTTCTTTGTTGACCATGTGACGTTAAATAAAAATACTCCTGCTGACATAGAACTCCAAAGTTCAGGGCACCTGTAGGCCACAAGGCGAGCGCCTGCCCCAGAGGGCACCACCGGCCTCCACGGGAAAGTGATGCTTTCACTTCCGACCCTGGGCAGCAGGCTTCTCAGAAATGATCTTTAAATGCTCCCTGGGAAGAGGATTTATGCCCTTTCCGGGTGAACAGCTCCCTGGACCCTTATAAACTGGGCTCGGTTTTAATGGTATTCATTCATTTCCCTCGGGAAAAATTCGAATTTCACATAGTCTCAGGGTTTTGTTTCCGTAGTAAAATATATGTGATTTTCAATGGGTTGCCTTTAATCTTTATATCCTATCCCTTCCCTCAACTTGGATAAACCTGGTTTATAAAAAATTAATTGTTCACTATCTTTTTCTAGATAACTGGGTGCAGTAAAAGGTCGTTTCTGTGTCCCGGAGCCCCCTGGTTAGAACTGTCTTACTTCTGTGCTGCCGCTTAGTCAAGGGTCTTTGCGACCGCAGAGCGCACAGACGCTGTGCCACACACGTGACTGCCGGGCATGCAGCCGTGCCACAAGACCAGGTCGCACCCGCTGGGGGCAGAGAAAGGCCAGTGGCGAGGCTGGGGGTAACAACCAGGGTCCACAAGCACCAAGACTCTCTGCCCTTGGCTGCAGGGCTGCCGAGCTGAGGGAGATCTACAGACAGCCCTGAGGCTGACCCCGGTCGCCGTGCTGGGCCTCGCTGCCTCTACAGCTCTTGTGCCGGCCTAGGAATTTACGTCCTGTCACAGAAAGACCCAGCTTCGGTATCATCACAGCCTTTCTCCAGAAACGGGATGGTGGCATTAAGGACCTCACAGCCCTAACGGTTAGGGGACTGGGCAGGTCGGTTTACATCGCCCCTCCTGGTCTTTCTGCTCCTTGCAAAAGCCTGAGCGTGGAGAGGCTGGAGCCACCGATCACACGAGGGCCTGTGCGTGGGGCACTGCCAGTGGATTCCAACGACCCATGAACAGAAGGAGACTCTATTAAGCGCGCTGTATGTGCCAGGCCCTAAACCAGGCCCTTTTGCAAATGGGATGTCATTTAATCCTCCCCATTACTGAACAAGCAAGAATGGGTTTCTCCAAAAGGAACGAAGCACTGACACAGGCCACAACATAGATGAACCTCGAAGGCTGAGGGAGAGAAGCCGACATGAAAGGCCACAGAGTGTGAGCCCGTTTATAGGAAATGCCCAGGACAGGCAAAGCCGTAGGAACAGAAAGTAGACGAGTGGTTTCCAGTGGGGAGGTCTAAATATTTGGTACTTTCCACTTACGATTTCTTCTTTGACATACATTATTTAGAATTATTTTTTAAACTCCCAGATGCGTGGGAAGGTGCTTTTACATTAATTTTTTTTTTTGGCCGCATTGCATGGCTTGCAGGATCTTAGTTCTCCGACCAGCGATTGAACCCACAGTGGTGAAAGCGACGAGTCCTAGCCACTGGATGGCCAGGGAATTCCCAACATTAACTTTGTTTTTAAACAGTGATTGGTTCAAGGACAGGCACATGACCCAGGTTGGTCTAAGGAGATTCAATCCTGGGACTTTCACTGGGTATATGGGGAAAGGACAGCTCCTGCGGTGTGCAGGCGGTAGATTCTACCACAGCACGGGGGACAGCCCATCTGAGAGTAGGGCCCACACGCCCGCAGACCTAAGAGGCGGAGAAAGACATCAGGCGACTCTCTGGGTCTTTTCAGCCCAGAGAAAAGCCCATCTGTGCTCCTTTTGGGGCAGAAGATGGTTTCACATCTGTGTCTGTCACCTACACTTGAAAAAATCCTATGGATACAGCTTCCCTCACTCATTCCAAAATATCTATAATCTAAATGTCATAAAATATCTGATGGCTGTGTCTCAGGCCTGCATCACAAATGTAATCTCTGACAACTGCTACCCAGCACCTCTTAAAATACCGGCCAAGAGAAGTGACAGTGATTATTTAATTTATATAAATAAGGTGGTTCTGGGACTTCCCTGGCAGTCCAGTGGTTAGGACTCGGTGCTTTCACTGCCGTGGCCCTGGGTTCAGGCCCTGGGTTCAGGCCCTGGTTGGGGAACTAAGATCCCGCAAGCCTCAAGGCGCGACTAAAAAATTATTTTAAATTTAAAAAATAAAGTGGTTCCACCTATTATCATGTCTCACAAAAACTTAGAAGGATGTTGCCTCTACGAGACTCAGGCAAACCCTGGCAAAGCCTTACTCATTCCAAGACTGTGCTACCCAGGAGGTCCTTTTGGTCCAAGTTTTGGCTACCTGGGTACCTGCAGTCAGGAGGCTGCAGGGGAAAACAGATATTCTCATAGCACAGAGAGTTTCACGAATGAATTGACCATTTATATAACTGGGCTCCACTCAAACACCCCTCCCTGTATAGCTCCAGAATCTCTCTCTCTCTCTCTCTCTCTCTCTCTCACACACACACACACACACACACACACACACACACACACCCAACACTGAAAGGCCTGGGAATCATGTTGTGAGGCTGTGGAAGTACAGTGCAAATCAAGTCAAATTGTAAATCTTATGAAAGATGCAAGATTTCAGAAAGTCCATAAATGGAATAATACTGAGGGATGTTCAGATCTAGCCCAAAGCAATTGGCCAGAGTGGGGGGTCCTGGCCGTGCAACTGAGGACCACGAATCTGACAAGGTAATGACAGGCTGCTGCTCCCACAAGAAGTGACTCGAATATCAGAGAGAGGCTCTTGGGGAAATGGAAGGTGCTCCTGTATATTTTAGCGCAACTGATCTTCTTTATAACGGACCTGAGAAAATCACACATGATGTGAAGGAGAATGTGAAGAGCTATCACACAATTTGTTGGAAAAATTATGAGCTGCCAAATCAACACTTGATTAATTCTTTGTCGGTTCTACAAATTAACTTATAATTGCATTCAGAACCTAAGTTTCCTTGAATACAAGACAAATGCAAGATATCCCCCCCTTTTTTCCTTTCTCACGATAAATTCTCAAAATCTTTTGCCCCACCATTGACATCATTACTATTTGATTCCCATTTTAAGTGAATTCACTTAAGGGACCTTCCTTTCCAGTCTGATTTCCATCTTGCACTGGAGAATGGTCAGTGGCAGGCAGTGAGCACCTGCTCCACTACTGTAAGTGTGTAAGCTCTGCCCACACATCCACTTAGGCCACCAAGAAGCCTCCTCCCCGGACTGCCACCACCTCACCCGAGGACAGCCTTCACACCTCGTTTCCTCCGAACTTAGTCTTTATCGAAGATCTAGACCAAAAAACAGCCAGTGCCATCAAAACATCATCCACTTTGTTCTTCCAACATCTCTTTTATAAAAGTGATAAGCTTATTTCAGACTTAGGGGTTTTTGTTTTTGTTTTTGGTGTGGGGAGGGTCAGATTTCTTGTACCAATCTGCCTACAGAGAGAGAGAATGCATGAATTGGTGAATAAAAGTAAATGAACCTTTTAGAGGTTTCACATGGCAATACATTGGCAATTGGCTTTTGGGATGTGTGTGCGGTGGATGTGTGTTTAAATTTAGAACCAACAAAAAATTAGACTCTCCTGAGAAATTGATATGTTTCTTCCTTTTTGAGTATTGGAACCACGAAACTCATAACCTTTCCCACTGTGAACTGGCTGCAAGAAAGCTCAAAAAACAAGTTTCCTCTTGATTTTTATGTCTATTTTGATGTTTTGTAGACTTGCCTTTTTCTTTCAGGCCACCAGAAATCACTGTGGAATGAACATGCTTCATTTGACTTAACTTGGACTGTACAAGGAGCCATTACATCATGAGAAAAGGCGGTAAGGACATGAGGGGTCCCAAAGCTTCCTAAGGGGTTAAGTGATGTGGACAGACCAGGCTGGGGGTGGGGTAGAATGTGCCCTGACAGGCCTGTCAGGGAGCCGGGGAGAAAGCCTTCTGAGTGTGCGGTTCTGAAGGGTGTTCATCCCCTCAGGAAGAGTCTCAAGGCTCAAATTACTGCAGTATCAGACAAGACTCCCCACCCTGCCAATACCACTTCCAGCGTGGAGAAAGGGAAGATATGCGGGGGGCTGGGGGGCTCTCAGAATCCCTGGGAGGAACCAGAAATCATCCTGCTAAAGGGCAGCACTGTCCCTCGTCTTCCCCTTTACCCAGGCATGCGAGTTGCGTTGCGAGACTAGTAATTAAGGGTAAAGGTCCGAAGCCCAGATCCAGCCCTTATCAGCTTTGTGACCTTGGGCAAGTTCTTTGAACCTGAACATCTTGTCTATAAAACCGGGATAACAACTCTACTTAATGGGGATGTTAAGATTAAGTGAGTTACTATAAAGAAAGCACTTAGGGGCTTCCCTGGTGGTGCAGTGGTTAAGAATCTGCCTGCCAGTGCAGCGGACACAGGTTTGAGCCCTGGTCCGGGAAGATCCCACATGCCGCGGAGCAACTAAGCCCGTGCACCACAACTACTGAGCCTCCGCTCTAGAACCCGTGAGCCACAACTACTGAGCCTGCGCTCTAGAGCCCGCGAGCCACAACTACTGAAGCCCACATGTCTAGAGCCTGTGCTCCGCAACAAGAGAAGCCACCACAATGAGAAGCCCGCGCACCGCAACAAAGAGTAGCCCCCGCTCCCCGCAACTAGAGAAAACCCGCGCGCAGCAACGGAGACCCAACGCAGCCCCAAATATAAATAAATTAAATAAATAAAATTTTTAAAAAAAGAAAGCACTTAGAACAACGCCTGGCACATACTAAGTGCCAAATAAATGTTAGCTATTCTTATTATGCCCTTGGACATGGGAGGATATCCCAGATGGGCTGCTGAGGGCAGAAGCCCCTGGCACTGCCTAGAGTGGTTAAAAAGCCTTTGTTATGACGCTGACAAAGATTCTCTCCTCCACCAAACTCTTACTCCACGAACTCTTTTTCAACCAGGCCTCCACTTTTTGGACTTCTGCATTTCCCAATTTTACCAAGAACTGCCCCCGCCGTCCTCCATATCTGATACCCTCCCCCCAAGGGCTGGTCAGTTCCTCATCCCCCACCGACCCCCACGTGGTCTGATGCCGCCCAGGCCTACCTTCAGCGAGAATCCTGCTAGGTTTCCTTGGCTAGAAACCCCCAACCCCCTGATGCTTCCTCTTAGTAATTTCCCACCCACTGACCTAACTAACGCTGCTCCTTGGCTGTAAATTCCCACTGGCCCCTGCGGTTTTAAGTGAAAAATGTCACCTGCCATAACAGTAAACAAAGGATGTTGCAACCTACAAGCCATCCCGTCACAGTCCGCGGACGTTGCACCCTGCGGGGACTCCTCAGGGTGGAAAGCAAAGGATACTGGCCCCAGAGAGCTGAGGTGCACATCAAAGGAATGATTTCAGTGAGCCCAGACTCTGGCATCTCCCCATACACAGAAAAGCACTAAATTCCTTAACTCGAGGTGTCTGGTTTTCTTTAATGAACAGTATCTTCTGACGTTCCGACTACCCGGTGTTTGCTGTAAAAGCCCCTAAGTATCCTGGATCCTCCCTTACCTCTTCGGAACAGTCCCTGAGTTATCTGAGATGCTGTGTCCCGGGCTTAAGTCCTCAGTCTTGTCCACCGAATAAAACGTAACTCTCAACTTTTAGGTGGTGCATTGTTTTTTCAGTCCACACGGTATTCGGGGATGACTGAGGTCTCTTGTGCCCTATGTCAACGGTCCTGAGTGGAATGTTTTCAGCGCTTTAACTGCCCTCCGGCCCTGCTTTTCTCTCTCAGCTCCCTGTGCTTCTGTGAGGGTCCTGGAGCCCACGGCCAAGGGGCCCGAGACCCCATTCCTGAGGTTCCCCAACCAAAGAGCTGCAGGGTCCCCGGCAGAAAGGCCCAGGCCCCTCGACTGAGGGCCTGGAACCGAGAAGCCGAGGCCTGCAGGTTGGGGGGGGGGGGGGCAGGTCCTTCCCGCTGACACGGGGCCGAGCCCGTCCCTGCCCGGCAGCACCGAAGCCCGCTGCCCAGGGCCCGGAAGCCACCGATGGGCCCGGAAGCCGCCGGCGGGACCGGAAGCCGCCGGCGGGACCGGAAGCCCTGAGGCTGCACTTCCGGGGGGGCGGCGGAGCGAGCGCGCAGGCCTGCGGCTTGAAGGGCGGGGTTTGCCGGGGGACGGGCCCGCATTGCCCACGTGCGTCACTTCCGGGCGCGGCGCGGTGAGCGCGGGCAGCGTGGCGGGCAGCGTGGCGGGCGGCGGGGCTGCTGGGGATCTGGCAGGGCCGGACGGGGGCGGAGGGGGTGGGCGTCCCGGGGGCGGAGGGGGTGGGCGTCCCCACGGGCCCCGGGCGGCTCCAGCCGCCCTCTGCCCTCCGCCTTGGTGGGGGTGCTGCTTCTCCCGTGGGACCGATGGTTTCCCCAAACGCAGAAAACGAAACCTCAGTGTGCGGACTAGAGGGGTGACGCGGGCGCCGCCACCCGCTCCGCCGGGTTTCTGCACCTGCGGCGCTTACTCCCCCCCACCCCCACCCCCGCGCGATGGCACGACTGAGGCCCCCAAGACTCAAATGAGAGCCGTTGGGATGCGGTGGGCGTCACAGTGATGCAGGACGGCGGGGGCCGACGCGTGGGGAAGGGGAGTTCTCACCTGCCTCCAGAGGCGAAAGTGTATTTTGACATCCCGCCTGTCTGTATATACGTATGTGTCTAGTTAAGGGATCCAGAAAGTTCCGGGCGAATGAAGCCTGTATGGATGAACAGGCACAGGCTTTTGAATGGGCCTACTTGTGTTTCTGTTTTAATGCCCAATAATGCTTATTCTTGGAGCCTCAAGGCTACCTGCCACTGATCGATTGACTCTTTTTTTTTTTTTCTATCTTTTTAACGTAAACTGAAGGTGCCATCGAGCAGTCCCAGCTATGGAAGGTAAGCCATTGGTGATATCGAAAGAGAAGACTGCAGTGGTGTGTGGGGTCCCCACCCAGGTGATCTGTACAGCTTTCAGCACTCACATCCTGGTGGTGGTGACCCAGTTCGGGAAGATGGGTACCCTGGTCTCCCTGGAACCCAGCAATGTGACCGGTGACGTCGGCAAGCCCGTGCTGACCACTAAAGTCCTTCTCGGGCAGGACGAGGTAAAGTGGTTGGGAAGGGCTCCCCGTGCCTGTAATTTGTCTGTACGGATGTGGAGCATCTGGTAGGCGAGACCTGCCTCCAGCCCAAGACAGCATTTTCCGCAGCCTCCGTGCACTTGAGGGCATCCGCCTGCCCTTGGTGGCTGCTGTTCCCGGACGAGTTGATTCTGTAATGTAGGCCTCCCCTCATTTTGACCCTGTCATAGCACGTTATGGTGATGAGTGCCTACTCCGCTCAGGAAAGATCACCTGTGACATTTGACAGGGTTTCCCTCTGCAGACCCACATGGGTCCTTCCAGAGTAAAAATAGCTGGAAGAGACAGGAGCCAGAAAGCACTGAGGAGACAAATCTAATGATGCTCCTTAGCAGTGTGTTTTTGACTGGAGTGTCTGGAGAGTCTTGTTGAATCTGAATCGCTGTTGCGCTGGACTTACCGGGTGGTGCTTTAATGGTGGTGTGGGAAGCCCTTCTGGGTCCCTCAGGGGTACTCGGTGAAGGCATTAAGAAGAAAACAGGTTTCTTGCAGTTAAAGTGATCTCTCCTTGCCTTCGCCAGCCTCTCATCCATGTCTTCGCAAAGAATCTGGTGGCGTTTGTGTCTCAGGAAGCTGGAAACAGAGCAGTCCTTCTCGCCCTAGCCGTAAAGGACAAGAGCATGGAGGGGGTGACGGCCTTGAAAGAGGAGATCCGGACATGCCAGGTGTGGTGACCGCGGAGTAACCACCCCGGCTGTCCAGCAGGGCCACGTGGCAACTCAGACGCCCTCTCAAGGATTTGAAGACCCTCCCTCAGTCAGAAGGAGTGCCTTTATCTGGTTTTGGTCCTTGAAGCTGGAAGAAACATGCACGTCTCGGGCCAACTTTGGTTTGGGGGCTGACGTCACCTGTGGAGGGAGGACGTGGAATGTGTCCTGGGGCGTTGTAAGCAGTCCTCCCAGGGTCCACACAGTTGCACATGTTTGAGAATTGGCAGAACGAGTCACGGCCCTCAGTGTGCAGACGAATTGTTGGGGGAAATTTTTTTTTATTAAAAATAAATGCGTGCCCCAAACACTGTCCTTAACAATGCTGCCAAACTTCAGGCACACGTGTACGTTCGCTGTAGTGAACCACAGCGGGGAAGAGAACCCTTCAGGCACACAGTGTATGTTCACTGTGGTGAACCACAGCGGGGAAGAAAACCTGGTGAACACTCGGCTCCTGGCATCCGGCTTTGCCGGCACCCTCATCCTGCCCCTCTTCCCGTGGCTTCTCTGAGCCTTCCGTTCCACAAACGCGGCTCCAGTTCTCACTGTGTGCTGGTACCCTAGCCTCCGGAGCCACGTCCTTGAAGGCTGGGGGCAGAAGTGCGTCACCCCACGGGCACAGGGTCAGCCGGGGAGGGCCCGCGTGGGGCAGACCAGGCAGCGCCCCGCTGCCCAAGGAAGGCTCTGTAGCAAGGGGATCCTGACGCGGGAGGAGGGTGTTTCTAGCAAAGGCCAGGGGGCGGGAGAAGCACAGATTGTAGGGTGTTGGGGGCCGGCTGAACGTGAAGCCCGAGGGCTGGGGACAGGTGGCCAGGGCCTTCTGTGTTTGCTGAGCCCTTGGGACTTGATCCTGAGCTGCGAGGAGCTACTGAAGGCTTCCAAGTCAGGCTGGGTTTATCCTTTGGAGATACCCCAAGGGTTGGTGGAAGCGCGAGGCGAGGCTTGCCTTCAGGACAGCGTGTCTGCCACAGAAGACGGCCTGTAGGTACCCAGGCCTGGGACCCACCTGGGCTCCCTCATCCCTCCAGATGTGGTGACCTGAGTCACTGGTCGTACTAGAGACCAGACCGGTAAATCTTTGTGCCATTTGACTCTTAGTCTCGTGAGAAAAGAGGGGCAGCAGGAGAGTTGAGGTGAGAGCCGGGGTCTGGAACAGAGACCAGCTGGGATCCTGAAACAGAGTGGGCAGCCGGGATGCCCTTCCGGGGAACACCGGGGGTGGATCCGAGTGTTTAGGAGATCAGAAAGGGATGTTTTAATTTGGTTTTCTTGGAACCAAAAGCTTCTGGAATCATGAGTCTGATTTTATTTATTTATTTTGCGGTACGCAGGCCTCTCACTGTTGTGGCCTCTCCCATGTCTCATGGGCCCAGCCGCTCTGCAGCATGTGGGATCTTCCCGGACCGAGGCACGAACCTGTGTCCCCTGCATCGGCAGGCGGACTCTCAACCACTGCACCACCAGGGAAGCCCCTGAGTCTGATTTTAGAAACCCCTGCTGAGGACAGGTGATGGGAGAGGCTGCATTGCTGGTCCAACTTGAAAAGAACTTAGTGAGTTTGTTGAAGGTGGGACGGAGGAAAGCTGTCTTCAAGGGCTCACTCCTTCAGCAGCCTCCCGGGGGGGACCATCAGCCTGCAGAGCTCACGTCCCCTCTGGGGACAGTCGGGTAAATCCACAGGTGCACACCAGGCTCACGCAGTGACCAGGCGGCCTCAGCATCAGAAGGGCCAGGGAGTCGCACGTGGGGATCCGCCAGACTTCCCACAGCGGGCGCTGATGCCCGAACAGGCTCGGCACCTTGCGGGCTCCTGTGTGGGGAGCCTGAGGGACCCAGGGCCCGACCCCCGACCGAGGGAAACAGGCAGACCCACCCCGGGAGACACAGGGCTCCTTGGTGGCCAAATCCGGCTCAGGGACTGCGGTGTGACGTCTCCACAGCCTTGCACCTCCCTCCCTGCTTGCTCTCAGTCCAGTCTTTCTCCTGAGAAGATCCCACCTGGCGTCTGCACTGGGAGGGCCTGGACGGACACTAGTTTTAAAAGCCGGAAAGCAGCTGACCAACTGGAGAAGAAGGGAAGGCCCTGTCCATCCACGTGTGCGGACCCCAAAGGTGACACAGTTCGTAGCAGGTGTGGGGACACAGGCACTGGAGTAAAGGAGATGTGCGCGGCGTCAGCAGGTCCAGGGGGCGGGCAACCCCTGGAGAACCGGCACCTGGGCCAGGGGCAAGGGCAGGGCACCGTCCGATGACACTGGAGCACAACCGGGCAGGAGCCTCCTTGCTCAGAATCAGCCTGTAATTATGCACACCCCTCATCTAACAATCAGATGTGTCTGTCCGTGGAAACATGCTTCTCTCGCTTGGCCAGCGGGGAACCTGAACCGTGGGTCAGGCTCCAACTTGGGGCTAAGTTCAGATTTGCAGCTGTAGTTTTCTGATTTGGCCCCTAAGTGCACAACGACAGGACTGGCCCACGCTGCCTGTTGGTGAGGTCTGGGGTCAGCCCTTCCTGCAGTCGTGGTAACACGTTTAATCCTCATGACGACCCCGTGAGGCCGCTGCTCTCATCTACATGTCAGATGAGGAAACTGAGGCGTGGCTGCCACCGAGCAGCAGGTCTGGGATTTCACGTGGGCAGAGAGCCTGGAGTCCACGCTGGTCACCCGTCACCCGGGCCCTCGCTGACACTCATTTTTGGACCCCTTTCTCTCTAAGGAGTGGGCCAACCGCCTTGTCCACACTGAAGGCAGACTTGCCTCGGTGCTTCTGCCTGGCTCTGATTCAGCCTCTGTGCGGGGGCCTCCTGTGAGCCAGGCCCTGGCAGTGCACAGGCCATCCGAGTCCTCATGACTGCCCTTAAGAGGCAGGTAGGCAGTGGAGAAAGTTGAGGCTCAGCAGGACAGGGCGGGTCGCCCAGACCCCCAGGTGATCAGTGGTGGCCCCAGGATGTAAACACACCTGAGCCCCTGTCATCTGCACAGTCCCACGGTTGCCCGCCCGGAACATGGTGGGGCAACTGACGTATAATTGAAACCAGGGTCCCCAGCGCCTTCCCGAGTGGCACTTATTCACAGCTGCCCGAGGCTGTCTGGTAGCTATTAAAGAATACAGGCTGAGACCAAAGGCTTCCGTCATTGAAGCCAGTGCCTCACTGCTCTGCTCTGCCTTATAAATCAAGACATGCGACTCGTATGAAAAGGCATTTGGCCCTTTGCTTTCCACGTTGCTCTGCTCCCAGGTGCTGTAATTCAGGAGGAGAGACACATTCTCCAGCAAAGAGGTCTAGAAAGCCGCAGTTTCCGCAGGCAGAGCTGTCGGCTTTGTGGGAATCGTTATTCCCAGCGATCAAACTGTAATTACAACTTCCAGCAATTTATGGCCAAATGTAAATAGTGAACGTGGGGCGGATTTGCCAGCCCCTGCGGCATGGACTGGTGGATGAGTTTCCCTTTTTCGAGGCCATGCCCTTGGACCAACGCGGTATGATTCACCCGACACGGTTTCTTGCTGAGCTACAAGTAGAGAACCCCAAGTTCCCCTCCCTCTAGCTCCCTTTTCCTAAGTGGACATGGGCCTGTGGCTACAGTTCAGAGTCAAGGGCGGGCCAGTGGGTACCCTCGGCGGTCAAGAGAGGCCAGGAGGGCGGCCGCCCATGGTTACAAGTCTGAGCAGCTTATCCAGGGTTTGACAGAGCCCCGGATCCACCTGAACCAATTATGACAAATAACCCGCGGAATAAGGCAGTGACCGCGGGGCCCAGCTGGATAACTGGCGTAGGCTGTTTTGTTTAGCGCCTTGCAGTGAAATCGGACGTCAGGAGCGGGTGCCGGGTAGCTGACGAGAGTGACGGCCGGATGGATCAGAACGAATTCAGAGCAGGCAGAGGCATTGTCGTCGAGGCTCCGCAATCACAGCCAGAAGCAGAGGGGAACCCCGGTCTCGTGTGGGAACTCGTAAATTCCAGAAGGACTGTGGGAAGACGGGGGGCGCCGGAGCACAGGGGAGGTGGGGGAGCGAACAGGCAGGAGGGCCCTCCCCGATGTGGGGCATCAAGGGGCGAAGGGACCAGAGAAAGGAAAACGGAGCCGCGTGAACGGGGCGGGGCGGGGGGTGGACATCCCAGCTCCATGCGCGGCGCATGCTGCATCACCCTGTTTAACCCTCGCTGCACCTCTGAAGTGGGCGTGGGAACCCCCCCACCTACACAGATGGGCCAGGGAGATGAAGCACCCAGAGCTACACCTGGTCAGTGGTCCAGGAAAGATCCACGCCTGGGTGTCGGAGACTCGACAGCCAGCTGGACAGTGGGTGGGAGGGATGGCTGGTCCCGAATCTGGGCAGGGCATGGCGGAGGGTGTGGCCGGGCTACCTGGGCAGGTAGGGCCGGCCTGGCAGGGCGGGTGGGGCGGGCAGCATGGAGGGGTTTTCTGGGTCTGGGGCAAGGCCAGCGCTTTGCCAGTAGCAATCGTATCAGACTGACCCAGGCTGCTGTGAGGAGGGATGGCAGAGATCTGGAGGCCCGGTGGCAGGGCCGGACAACCCTGGTCGCCCCCTCAGGCCTGGAGACCTGCGACAGACCTGGGGTCTGGCCAGATGGCCAAGGGAGCCACCAGGGAGGTGAGCTGTGCGTGTGTGTGCCTGTGTGTACACGTGTGTGTGTGTTTGTACACGTGTGTGTGTGTGTGCACGCACAGCCATGAGAGAGGTGTGGTGTCCAGCCTGGGGCCCCGTGCACCCCTGGAGAGAAGCGCCCACACCCTGAAATTCTGAGACTCACAGCTGCTCCGTCCCCACCCCATCTCTACCCCAGAGGCCGTGCCCCCTGCCAGGCCCCAGGATGCCACCTGGTGACCAAAAAGGGTCTCAGGCCAGCCCAGCCGGGCCAGGCCCAGGTCGGCACCCCTGCCCCAGGTCCTCACGGAAGGGTGCCCCCCAGGGCTGGGGCAGCTCGCTCTGGGGCAGCGGGCAGGTATGGACAGGCCCTGGGCAGTCACAGGCTCTCCCTGGGGACCAAGGCAACAGGCCTGGGGAGGGGCTCGGCCTGGCATGGGCAGGACAGAGGACGGGAGGCCTACGGGGTGAAGAGAGAAAGCCTCCGAGGCCCCATGTGGGTCCCGCTGGGCTGCAGGGCAGGGCTGGTCGGCCCGACAGCCCAGAAGTAGAGGAAGACCACCCATGTGCCCAAGGCTGGCGGGACCCCGCACCCAGCCCCCAGCGCCAGCAGCCTGTGAGAGGAGTGGGCAAAGCCTCCCGAGTCCCCGCTCTTACCAGGGCTGACCTGCTGCACACGGCCGGCCGTCACCCACGGAAACTGACGCTCAGAGAGGCCCACGGTTGGCCCTAAGTCACAGACACGGTGAGAGGCCAGGCTAGGGTCCCAGCCCTCGTGTCGGACCCAGGGCCCTGCTCCTGCCCGGCTTTGGGGGCCCAGTGCCCTGCCCAGAGGGGCCAGCACCTTGGACACGGGGAGGCACAGCTTCCCAAATTGCCCCCAAACTAGGGCTGGAAGGACCCTCAGCCCCCCGGCCCCTGAGGCCCAGAGAAAGGGGTGGGGTGGCTCCGGGGTCCCCAGGCTGCAGGGGTGTGCTGGGGGCCTCTGCAGTCACCCCGGCCCAGGCTGTGGTGGCATTAGCTGAGTCAGTGGCCATTGTGTGGGCCGCCACCAAAGCCCAGGGCCAAATCCCATCTGCCACAACCTGGTGGGCCGGCCTGGGGAAGGGGGCGTGTCAGGACGCCTCCCACCACCCTGTCCTCCAGCCCTGTCTCTGCCAGCCCAGAGTGGGCAGCTCAGAGCTGGAAGGGCCTGGCTCAGGGAAGGCAGGAGGGGAGAGCCTGTCCCCCGTGGGAGAGAGCCATGTGCCACCGGAAATGGCAGGCTGGCCTAGAATGGGGGCTGGCACAGTGGGGGAGCCTGGAAGGAGGTTCGGTGCCACAATGAGGCCATTAGGACCCTGGGGTGAAGGGCAGGCGTGGGGAGGGGGGTGTTGAGGTCTGTGACTGGCCCGAGGCTCCTCGGCCACCCCACAGCTGGGCCGGGAGCTGCCCAGGGCCCAGTCACCTGGTCACGGTAAACAGCGGTCAGAGGCGTCAGCCGCCCGCGTCTGGGCGGGCAGGTCTGTCCTGTGAGAGGCTTGGTCAGCGTCCAGCCCCAGGCAGGGAAATCAGGCCAGGCCGGCCAGGCCGCCTCTCCCGAGTGGGTGCTGGCTGTGAGAGCAGCCGCCAGGGGTGGGGCCTCGTTCAGCCAGAGAGCCCCATGGGAGGCCGCAGGGTCAGCCTGTCCCCGGCCCCTCCTAGGACCGGGGTGCCAAGTCCCTTGCTCCCCCAGACCCGGTACCCGTGTCAGTCGTGCCCTCTAAGCCGGTGAAGCACGCCTTACCCACCCCGGGGGCCCTGTGGCTCCCGGCTGCGCCTGGCATGTGGCCCTGCTCGGGGTCTGGGGTCTGGGGCTAGGGGGAAGGCAAGAGGGTGCGGTCCCAGGTCCCCAGGGATTGCAGGGACCTGCATGCCATACCCCAGGCAGGGGCTGGCAGACCCTAAACTCACCTTTGCTGACGAGAAAGCAGAGGCCCAGCGAGGCGAAGGGGCGTGCCCAGGTGGCCAGAGAGCAGGGGCTGCCTCTGGAGCGACCTGGTCAGGAAGCCAGAGAAGGAAGGGGAGCCCCAGGTTTATAAAATGCAGCCGAGCAGACAGCGCCGCAGGTCCGGGCGCCATGGGCACGCAGGGCTCGGGGGCGGGCGCGGGGCTCACAGGAACTCATGTCCGCTGGAGAAGGGCCAGACCACACCGGCCAGCCCTGCCGGGCCAAGTGGGAGCCCACGCGGGACACCGGTGTCCAGGGCGTGGGCTGGGCAAGGCGCGGGGTTCCCGACGTGCCTGTGGAAGTTGAAGAGGTGAAGACAGAGAGGAGGTGACACCCGAGACGGCAGGAGCAGAGTCGGCACCGGAGGAGGCCGTGAGGGGAGCCGGGCCAGGTCCCGGGGCTCTACCTGAGTCAGGATGGGGGCCTCAGGGAGAGTCTGGGGGACCCCCCGGGGGGCAGTGTGGACGGAGGGGTGGGGGAACGGGGTGGTGTGTCCGAGGGGCTGGCAGCCTCCCCCCGACCCTCCTGTACCCTTGGGGGACCCTGGACACGTGGGAGTCCCTGACTCCCACCCCTTGACCCCACGATCCAGGGCCGCAGGGAGGGTCAGGCGGCACCAAGGATGGGACCATGTGGGCACTTAGTCCCCGTACCCAGCGTGGTAGATGGCCGAGGCCCCCCACCCTGCCGGCACCTCCAAGAGCCCAGGGGGGTGAGCCCTTCCCACTGGCCCAGGGCTGACCACAGGGCAGGCCCAGTGGCCTGTCTGTGACTCACCCACATCCCCTCCTCCCCTCCCCCCACCCCCTGGCAGAGAAAACCAGAAATGCTTCCAATGTACCTCCTGGGGCCGGGGGCCTTTCTAACCTAGGGGAAATTCTCATGATAAATTTACCCGCTTTAAAAGGGCACTTAATACACCCTCGATGTCATGCAACTGCCACCTCTACCTCCTTCCAGAACTTTCATCACCCCAGCTGGAAGCCCGTACCCATTACGCACGCAGCCCCTCCCCCATCTCAGGCCCGGGGAGCAGCTGCCTGGCCTCCTGGTGCAGGCAGGTGAGGGCACCTGGCGCAGGCGGGTTCCTGGGAGCCAGCTGCCTTGAGCAAACAGCCGGGGCAGGGATAGAGTGTCAAAGGGGGAGGGGACAGCCCTCCACTCCTCCCCTCCGCCCCGGCGCCTCCCCGCAGCCGGAGGCTCCGGTGGGCCGCCGGGAGTGGAGTGCCGGCTGCCTGTCCCCAGGCCTGGCCCAGCCTCCGGAAGGCAGCCTGGTCCCAGCCCCGCGGGGGCCGCCCGTGGGGGCCATGTGGCCACACAAATGACCAGCTAGGCTTCCCTGGAGGCCGGGCCTCCCAGGACTGGCCCAGGAGCTTCCTGCCTGAGAGGTAGGTGCCGGACCCTGTGACCAGGTCTGGAGGGAGGGGGGAGGCGCCCGGCACCCCGGTGGGTTACGAGCAGCTGAGGAACAGGGCGCCCAGGGCTAGCAAGCGGGCTTGGGGTGGCCGGGGGCCCTGGCCAAGCTGGGCACCAGATGCTCGGGCAGGCCCGGTGGGTGCAGGGTGCCTCCCCACCCCGTCTGGCCTGGTTCCCGGACTCCACCCCTGGTAGGCAGGGCACCAGGGGCTCCCCGACTTTCTCAGATGTCTTTGGCCCCTGAAAAGCAGGCTCCCCGCAAGCCCGGGACACCAGAGGTGGGGACCGATCGTCCCGGGACACAGTCGGGCAGCTGGTGTCTGCACCCAGGTGGCTGACCCCAGGGAAGAGGGCGCCCAGGCCCGGGCCTTGGACCTGGGTCTCTGCACACAGAGGGCTGCCCAGAGCCCAGGCAAGAGGGCAGGAGGGTCAGACCGGAACTCCCCTGGGAGGGACGGTGGCCGAAGCCCAGCATGCCCCGCTCAGCACAGCCTCGCCGGCCCTGCCCACTCTCTCCCCCTCACAGGCACTGGGGCTGCTTCCGGCGTCTGCGTGCACCTTTGCCCCCCCCCCCCCCCCCCCCCTGTGTCCTCCCTCACCTCTGCAGATGTCTCAGGGCTCCTGGGAGACCCCCTGATGTGGGCAGCCGGGCCGCAGTCCAGCCTCCCGCTGGCCATGCCCACCGGGCTGCAGGTGGACCGCGTGGGGAACAGCTCCCAGGGCACCTCCCAGCTCTTCCTCACCACGGCGCTGGCCCGCGGCATCTCGGGCGTCTTCGTGTGGACCGCCCTGGTGCTCACCGGCCACCAGGTGAGCCCCCCCCGTGCGCTCCCTTGGGAACCACTCTCCGTGAGGCACAGCTCAGCCTGGCCCTGGCCGGCCCTACTGGGGCTGTGGGTCCACGAGCGCAATGGCCTGGGTGCAGACCTCGGAGGCCTTCGGGCCAGAGAAGCAGTGCCCAGGGGCTCGAGGAGGCAGCATCGGGCCAGGGGAGGGGGCAGGGGAGGGAGAGATCTGGGCCCGAAGGTGGGCGGCCTCTTCCAGGCAGAGGGAAGAGCTCCAGCCAGGTGCCAGGCCCTTCCCCCGGGGCATTTCGTCGGCCCCTCAGCCTGTTCACTGAGGTCAGCAGTACTGTCCCCTTTCACGGATGAGAAGACTGAGGCTGGGAGAGGCCGGGGTCTTTCCTAGGCTCACGTAGCCTGGAGCAGAAAGGTCCTTCCCCTCCAGAGGTGCAGCATCCCCGGGAAAGCTGGTGAGGCTGGGACGTGGCTCTGTAAGGAGTGAGACCAGGCTCTGGGAGTGGAAGCAGGGTCAGAGCTTGGCTGGAGGGGTCCAGAGCTGGGGAGACAGGCAGCCCTCCGATGCAGCAGTGCCAGGCCTGGCAGCAAGAGCCAGGGAGCGGGTGACAGGAGGTGGTGCCCGAGTGCAGGGCTGGGCAGTGGGGTCCCGAGCATCTCAGGCAGTGGGAGAGGAGCCCAGGACTGCGCCAGAGAGACACGAGCAGAGCTGGGAGGGAGAGGGCTGCCTGGGCTGGAGGCACCTGGGACCTGTAGGAGGGGCCTCCGACATCATGTGGGAGTTTGGCTTTCAGCCCAGGGGTGCTGGGGAGCCAGGGGAGGCTGTCGTTGCGGGGAGCTGAGAGCAGAGCTGCTGGCATGACTTGGCTGGCATTGTCATAGGGACTGGGTTGGAGGGGTGAGCCAGGAGACTGGCTGGCAGGGAAGCAGGTGGCCAGAGGCCTCCGAGGCAGGGCGGTACCCTCTCAGTGAGAGCTGCCTGCTGTGTGGTGCGTGTCCAGGTGTGGCTTCAAATAACCAGAATAGAAGGGGGACACGGCAAACGTATTAGTGGGCTGGGTGCAGCTGAGAGTGGCCGGAAGAGGTGGGGGCCATCTGGGAGGCCTTCCTGGAGGAGGCAGCATTTGCCCTGAGTCTTACCAAGCTGCCCTGGAGCATCTGGACAGGTAGACCGGACAGGAGGGTGGTGCATTTGCCTCTGCAGGGAAGCCATGCCTTCCTCCCTGGTGGCAGAATGGCTTTAGGTCTGGTGTCGGCTGTGATTTGTGGGACAAGGAGCAGTAAGGGGGACGGGCACCCAATGCACCTGGGTCCGGGCCAGTTCCAGCCACAGTCTGGGCCTTGGCTTGGTCCTCTGTCTCCTGCCCTGACCTTTTGTAATTCTGGGTGCCAGCTGGGCACGTGTGTTTGGAGCCCAGCGTCCTGGGGCCCCACGGCCTGGACAGTGCTGATGGAGACCCCGTGGGTGGCACTTCCCAGGGCCCACCCTCCTCCCCGCCCCCACCCGCACTCCCATGGAGGAGTCCCACCCTCCCCACCCATTCAGAGCTCAATGGGACAGAGAGACTGGACCCTCACTTTAAAGACGGGGAACCAAGGACAGAGAGAACAGCGGCTTGCCAAGGCCCTCAGCCAGGCAGTGCCAGCCCAGGAGCAGAAGTCCATCTCCTGATAGCTGCTCAGGCCATGCCCTCCTGCCGCACCAGCTGGGGAGGGAGTGGCTGATAAGGAACCTGACTCTGACGCCAGGCTGCCCCCGCCACTCCCCATGCTGGGCCCTAAGAAGCTGGGTCTCTGCACACAGCCTGCCCTCTGCCTGCCCTCTCTCCACCTCCTCTCATGGCACCTCTTCCGGGAAGCCTCCCAGAGTTTCTTGGGACTACAGCCAGCTACCTGTTTGGCTGGCTCCCCGGGGCCTCTTCCTTCCAAAGACCCTGTCACTGTTTTTTTTGTCCTCGTAGAAAATGTGGATCATCTAAGAAGGTATACAGATGAACATGAGAACCACCCATCTTTTCCTTTTGTCCAGGGATGTCTTTCCCTTCATTTTTACCCTGCTTTTTCACACACCTGGGTCCTGCTCAGTTTGTCATCCTGATGTGACCGATTGCGTTCTGTCGGAGCGTCTCCCCACGCTGGCGACTCGGGGCTGCAGGGCAGCCCTCTGCACGGCTGCATCTCAGTCACGGGCCCCACCGCCGTGCTCAGCCTCGTGTGCGTCCCTACCATGAACGTCCTTGAACGCAAATCCTACTTTTGTTTCTGAATAAATCTGTTCCGTGGGATAAATCCCTAGAAAGGGTCAAAGGGTATCAGCCCTTTTAATGCCTCCGTGTCAAAATGCCAAACTGCTCTCCAGACCAGTCATGACCACGAGGGGGCCGTGACTGCCGCCCATCCCCCTGCCCCTGGGGAAATTCTCGTTGAATGAATGAATGGGCACGTGAGTGAATGCATGTTCCCAGTGCAGAGTGTCCGCTAAGGGCAGGGCCCAGGGAGGTCCGCTTTGCTTCCTCCCGCTTGGGTGGCGGGTGGGCCGTGTCCCCAGGCCTGCCTTGCTCCGCCCACCCAGATCTACCTGCACCTGCGCTCCTGCACCGTCCCCGACGAGCAGCACTACATCATCCGCCTGCTTTTCATCGTCCCATCTACGCCTTTGACTCCTGGCTCAGCCTTCTCCTCCTGGGGGGCCACCAGCACTACGTCTACTTTGACTCCGTGCAGGATTGCTACGAAGGTGAGCACAGCTAGCTCCCCGGGCCCCAGAGCGGCCCCAAGCTGGGCTGGCAGGGGGAGCCGAGTGAGGGGCTCCTAGGCGCCTGCACTCCCCCCGCCTGCCCTGGGGCCCCCCACCCTCCAGGCCTGAGTCTGGCTTAGCGAGGCCCCTGCAGGACAGTCGGGATTAGTGGTGCTAACGATACAAGACTCCCAGGCTCCCAAGTTGGGGGCCAGACTGCAGCTGGGCCTGCCCAGAGCCTAGGGGTGGAATGGAACGGGCCCTAAATGGGGTGGGGAGCGTCAGAGCTGCCGTGACTGCTGCAGGCCCCACCCCCACCAGGGATGGCATGTGGTCCTAGAACCCAGCTGGGAGCCCCCGTGAGGAGTGGGTCCTGCTGCGTGAGCTGAACCCCAGCTGTCTTCTGGGAAATGGGCGCCAAGGAGTTCTGAGCGGTCAGGGAGCCTTCGTGCAGGCCGGGTGCCCTCGTGGACCGCCCAGGCTCACTGCCGACACCCCTGTTCTGCAGCCTTTGTCATTTACAGCTTCCTGAGCCTCTGTTTCCAGTACCTGGGGGGTGAGAGTGCCATCATGGCTGAGATTTGGGGAAAACCCATCCGATGAGCATCTCCCCAGAGCCCGCCGGGCACCCCTACGCCCAGGGTGGGCAGCCAGGCCAGTCTGGGGGTGTGTCCTCCAGGAACACACCTCAGGGACTCCCTCACCCCAGGCCCAGCTGCTTCTATGGCACCTGCTGCCTTCTAGGCACATGTCCTACTCCATTGGGTTTCTGCGCTTCTGTAAGCAGGTGAGTGCCCGGCCCTTCCCAGCCGCCCCCTGACCGCCCCTCACCGCCCAGTGTGCTGGGGGTCCCTCGGCCCCTCCCCCGTCCCCTCACTCTCCTCCCCCACCCCCAGGCCACACTGCAGTTCTGCATTGTGAAGCCCATCATGGCCTTGGTCACCATCATCCTGCAGGCGTTCGGCAAATACCACGACGGGGACTTCAAGTGAGGCCAGGCTGGCGTGCAGGCAGGGAGGGGGTGGGTGGGCCCGGCCTGGGGGGCACAGGGGAGGTAGGCAGAGCTCAGCAGAGGGCTCAGCAGGGGCCAAATCCCCTCCCCCTCCTCCTCCTGGGAAAGGGCCGGGGGCAAGGCCACGGCAAACAGACCCTTGTCACACACATGCCCTGGGGACTCCAGGGCTTCGCGGCCCAGGCAGCGATGGGCTCCTTCCCCGGCGCTACCCCACAGCAGGGCCACTGGAGGGCGAGCGTGGGTTTAAGGGCGCTCGGGCCCAGAGAGCCAAGCTCTGTGCTGGCCCGTGCCCCTGCCCTGGGTCCACACGAACTCCTCACGCGCATGCGCACGCATGCTCAGGTGTGCGCACGCGCACTCACCCTCACACACATGCACACGTGCAGACACACGTGCTCTCACATGGGAACACACAATGAGCATGTGCACACGCTCATACAGCTGACATGCGCACACGCTCATACAGCTGACATGCACACGAAGCGCCCACGCACAATGGTGGGTCCACGACGTGGGGGCCGTTCCCGTGCCTGGGAGGGTAGAGAGGGGAGGGGCAGCAGGGCTCCTGCCTGGAAGGGGGCAGGATCTGGAGACGACTCCCTGCAACCATCTCCTCTGCCGCTCCCCTAGGGTGCCATCTGCAGGCCCTGGAGGGAGGGTCCAGGTCTGAGCCACTGCCGGTGCCCAGGCTGGGGGCCCAGGCCAATGGCACAGCTGGCAGGGTGAGGAGGGCATGGGGGCGCGGGCCCACCCTCACCACCGGCCCTGGCTCTGGCCCCCAGCATCCACAGCGGTTACCTCTACGTCACCCTCATCTACAACGCCTCCGTGAGCCTGGCCCTCTACGCCTTGTTCCTTTTCTACTTCGCCACCAGGGAGCTCCTGCGGCCCTTTGAGCCTGTCCTCAAGTTCCTCACCATCAAGGCTGTCATCTTCCTCTCTTTCTGGCAGGGTGGGTGGGGCTCCTGAGGCAGGGGCTGGAGCCCAGAGAGATGCCCCAGCTGTAGCCGGGTCAGCAGGCGGCCCTCTCAGTGGGAGGCCATCAAGCCCCCAGCACGGGGGAGATGGTGGGCTCCCCACCCGGCAGGTCTGGCCCAATGTGTGGGGAAGAGGCCATGCGGGGGGCGGTGGAGCCTTGTCCTCAGCGGGCCCTGGGCCAGGCTCTGGGCACAGCCAGACCCCACTTCTCAGGGGACGGTGAGGGGTGGGGCCAGGAAGAGGTCAGGACAGGCGCTCGGGGAGTTCTTGGACGTCCGCTGTGCCAAGGCCCTGGCTGTGGAGGCTCCCAGCCCCTCTGGACCTCAGACCCTGCAGACCCCCGCCAAGCCCATGAGGCCGGCCTCAGGGGGACTTCTGGCTGGGGGTGGCTGCAGTCCAGTCTCCTGTCCGGGGCAGGCACCTGAGTGGCCATCGCCGTCCCCCAGGGATGCTGCTGGCCATCCTGGAGGGGTGTGGGGCCATCCCTGAGGCCCAGGTCACCGATGGGAGCGGCGTGCGGCCGGCACGGTGGCCGCCGGCTGCCAGAACCTCATCACCTGCATCGAGCTGCTCTTCGCTCCATCGCTCTGCGCTGCGCCCTCACCTGCCAGGTGTGCTCAGAGGAGAAGGGGCCCCCCAGCACCATGTCTCTGTCCCCCGTCTTGCCCACGGGCCCTGGGAATGTCGACTTGATGGGCAGGGAGATGGCCCCACGGAGGACCCAAGCTCCAGACAGGTGCCTCACCTGCACGTGGTCCAGGGGAAGAGGCCAGGCAGGCCGGCGGGCAGGCGGGCTGAACTCTGAGTGAGATGGGCTGGACCTGATGTTTGGGCCCCCAAGGGTCCCTCGGTGATAGGGGGTTGGCGCAGCGCCTGAGCCTGGGGGCCCCAGCGACCATACCCAGGAGCCTGGACCAGCCTGACCAGAGAGGCCAAGGGCTGGCTGGTGCTGGTGTCCCTAAAGAATGGCCTGTTTGGGTAGGGGTGGCCTGAGCCTGGACCGGTCAGCCTGGAGTGGCAGAGGGTGTGAAGAGTTCACACCAGGGCGGAGAGAGGATGGGGGCCAGCTCACAGCGGTCTCTCTCTGCCACCTCTGGCAGGGGGTCTGGGCTGGGACAGCCCCAGTGCTGGGCTGGGGTGGAGAAGTTGGGCTGGGATTCTGGGGTCCTAGGAGTCACCCTCTGCTGGCCGAAGCCAGGGCCTGGAGATGCAGGAGCCCTGGCCCAGGCAGCCCCGAGGCTGGTGGGGAACAGGGTCAGGTCCTGGGGTCCGGGTGCACGGGGGGAGATGATGGGGCGCAGGGAGCACCCCAGCCCACCCGCTGCCTGTCACCAGCCCCCACGGCGCCCATGCAGAGCATCTCCAGCGGCCTCAAGGAGACCGTGAGCCCGCAGGACATCGTGCAGGACGCCATCCACAATTTCTCGCCCGCCTACCAGCAGTATACGCAGCAGGCCACACACGAGGCCCCGGGACCCGGCCAGGGCAGGGACCCCTTGCCCAGCACCCACCCTGGCATAGATGGTGGCTCCAGCAGGGGCAGGAAGGGCCGCAACATGGAGAAGAGGATGCTGATCCCCGCGGAGGAGCTGTAGGGGCCCCGGGGTCAGCAGTGGCCTGGTGGGGTCAGTGGTCCAGGCCGCTGGGAAAGGACAGGGCCCCTCACCCACCGACCGTCTTGCCAAAGGTCAGGCCTCTCCTAGGAGCCTCCTGCTAGGCCCGTGGAGCCCACTGCCCATCCCACCTCTGGCCAGTGGAGCAGGTCACTTGGTAGCCCTGCCAGGCGCCCCGGGGCCACACCATCGCCTGGTGGGCCCTCGGCCTCAGAAGAGGGCACCTGAGCCTATCTGACAAGCCCAGGGACCTGCCGGGCTCACCTGGCCATCGGCTCGGGTGGCCTCCCTGGATGGACAGCTCGCGGGCAGGGCTGGGCAGCCCAGAGCTGCGGGCCTTACAGGCAGGAGGGCTCCACACTGAGTGCAGGAGGCGGGGTGGCCCCGCGGAGGAAGGGCCGGTGTGGCTGCTGGGAGTCTGGGAGGCGCTGGGGCCAGCGGTGGAGGGCTCCGGCTTCCTGGTGAACTGTACTTATTTATGCATAAACAGCCTGGGTTTTCTAGTGACTCTAGTGGCCTGTGTTCCTGCAGGGTCAGTGCTCTAATGAATGGACCACAGTGAGGCGGACAGATGAGACCCATCGTGCGAAGTCTGGGTGCAGCGGGGAGGGTCCCCGTCCACTCTGGGGCTGCGGGCCACAGTAGCAGCTCAAAGCAGGCAGGCAATGAGCTCAGACTAGAGCCGGGATGGCCTGCCCCGCCGTGCGCACGGCTGTGTGGTCCGGAGCCTTGGCTTCTCCAGTTCAAGGCCCCGTGCCAGCCCCGCCCGAGGAGGGGGCTGGTGCCCGGGAGCCTGGGGCCCAGGAGGCGGAACAGGACAGGGGGAGTGAGGGTGGGCCCTGGACGTCGGGGTGCCCCGCGTGGGGAGGGGCGGCAGCGGGTTGTGAGCCTTGGTCCGTCCAGTGTGTCGGGGGCGCTCAGGAGGGTGAGGCGGGAGCCGGGGAAAGGTGCCGGGGTGGTGCGCCCGCGGGCAGGCATGCAGAGCTGGCAGCGCGGCAGCAGGAAGGCCTGGGCACTACCCAGCCACGACCTCCCACACCTCCCGGCCGCCGGCTCCCACGTCACCCAGGGAGAGAGGGAAAGGCACCGAGGGTCTCAGAGAGACTGAGCAGGGCAGGAACCAGCGTACGGTTTCCAGGGCAGAGTGGGGTCACCCCTGTCCCCCTGTTCCCTGGGCCTGGGGCACGGGACTCAAGGCCAGCGGCCTCTCCCAGGGCCCAGCCTGGCTGCCTGATAAGATAGGCCGGCCTCCTCCCTGCCGCCAGCTGGGAGGCCCCCCATCTGCCTTACCGCGCCCTCTGCGACTGGCAGGCCCAGGTCGGGCCCCCACGTCTGACAGCTGGTTTGCGAGTGGCCACGGGGCCCCCAGAGACCCGCTGACCCAGGAGGGAGGTCTCCTGGAGGCTGCAGGGCAGAGACCCTGCGGTGAGCCAGGGGAGGCGGTGCTGCCCCAGGGCCCTGAGTTGCCCAAGGCTGTGAACCCAGAGGGCATGTGGGCCAGGGCCGCCTTCTGGAGACCCCGACACAGCGTGCGGTCCTGGGGTGCTCTCAGGCAGGCCTGGCGCTCTGGGAGCACCCGCCGTGTGCCAAGGACCGGGCCAGCAATGTCACACACACGCAATCCTCACAACGGCCCCGGGCGGGTGGCCGAGGCCCAGGGAGGTGGAGCCACTTGCCTGCGGTCACGGAGCTGGCAAGAGGGGCTGCTTGCCCACCAGTCCCAGCCCCACAGGCCCCTCTGCCCGTGGCCAGGCGCTTCCGACATAACAAAGTCAAGCAGTGAGGACGACACACCTGCAGGTGGGACAGAGCCTCAGAGCAGGTCAGAGGGGCTGCCGGCCTCACGGGCCTGGCCCTGCTGACGGGGAAGCATGGGTGCTCCGAGGAGGGGACCGCGGGCCACCTCTCCATCATCTCTGATGAAAACCCGGTTCCCGATTCCAGGCCGCACTGCGTGGGGCCAGGGGTGGCCACGGAGGCCGGTTGTCTCACCCACGTGCTCTGGCCTCGGTGTTCTCACCTGTGAAATGGCCCCAGCGGTCCACGCCGCAGGGTGGCGGCCCCCAGAGCAGCTGGGCGGCCTGGAGGCAGGAACCCTTTAACAACCTTCCTGGAGCCCAGCGCCGGGCGGGGTCTGTGACTCCCCAGCCTGCACCCAGAGGCTGCTGCCAGCTCTGGTCTCAGGGACACACCCAGGGGCTCCCGGGAGCAGCAGGCCGGGGTGTGGGCTCTCCCGGGGCTGCTACGGGGATCTGCTCAGCTGGGGGAAGACAGCGACCGCACTGTGCCGAGTGCGTCCATCCCCGCACCTGACTCCGCAGAAGGGAGCTCGGGGGCTGGCGGGGAAGGAGCCGGCGGAGGCCACACGGAAGCTGGGGGTGGGGCTCAAGCCCAGTGGCTGGCGCTGAAGCACAGTCCCTTGGTTACGAGGTGCCACCCCAGTCAGCCCGGCAGGGGGGGGGGCGGGAGGGCTGCCCGTGTTCAGAAACCCCAACGAGCAGCAGATCTCCTGGCAAGCTTGACCCTCCTTCAGAGGCCAAGGCCAAGTGCTGACCCACCTGACCCTCCAAGGTCAGGGGGTTAAGGAGGGGGCAGCATCCCAAGGACAGGGCGCCCGCTCCCCCACCAGCAGGCCCAGGTTGGCCGGGCCCCCGGCTCTGGCTTTCAGGGGAGTCTGCTTACTGGCTTTGCCCTCGGCCCCAGGCAGACCCCATCTCTCCCACCCACTGCGAGCTCACCTTAGAGCCCCCGCCAAGAGAGCCGCCCTGGGAAGGGGGGCCGCGTCCACCGACAGGGGCTCCTCGTCAGGGCAGTAGGGGCCTTGGGAACTCCACCCACCACCTAGAAAGGGAGCCCGCCTGCCTCCACCTGCCTGAGCCCTCCGCGCGCAGCCCCGGAGACCCACTCACAAGTAGCATCTGACAGTGACCCCACCCCCGGGGGGGCTCCAGCCATGGGGCTGGGATGGGGTGGCGGCGCAGGCAGTGGTCCACAGCGCCGCCCCCCCCCGGGCCAGGGAAGGAGGGAGGGTTGGCCCAAAGCGCCAACCGTGCAGCAAGACGTGAAACCAGAAAACTCTTTATTGAAAGGTACAAAAGCGTCACGGCAGAGATGTACAGCAATAAATTAGGTGTGGCCGGGAGGGGACGGGCGGGCGCGGGCCGCACGTCACACCACAGGGGCCACGACATAGGGTCTCTTCTCAATAATTTATATCATGATAAAAGCAGCACAAAAATAAATATTGAAATGAAACTGCGGAGAGGCCAGAGGTGCGGGAAACAGGAGCGGGGCCTAGGCAGGGCCCTGTCGCCCGGAGGAGCGAGCCGGAAGCACGGGGGACGGGAAACCAGCCCCCCCGGCCAGGGGGCTGTGCCTGTTTTCTTAAATTAAAACATCCATATATTAAAACTGTGACAATGAAATTTCAACGCTCTGAGAGGAGGGGGAGGGATCACGCTGGTCTCCCAGGCCTGGTCCCGGGGAGTGGAGGCTGCGGGATCGGGATCGGGTGCTCGGAGAGCCCGGGCCGCCGCCCTCCCCGCGGGGCACCCGGCTGGGGCACGGCCCAAGGGCAGCGGTGGGCGGCGAGAGCGGCCAGCTTGAGAAGCCAGGCGCGGGCGGTGGTCCCGCTCCCACCCACACTCCCAGGCAGCTCTGCCCTAGAGAGGCTACAGTATCAAGTAGGAGGAAAAGGTATGAAAATCTACGATAAAATGTGTATCTAATTTTATATATATATATACTTTTCTCTCTTTTAAATATCCCCGTGGTCCTTACTGATATCCAATGTGGATTACCTACCATGGCTATGGTATCAACAGCTTCTTTACACACCGGCCGTGGCTCCGGAAGGACCCAGACGCCCCAGACCCCGCGCCCTCTCCCAGGACAGGGGGACGCTTTCTGGCTGTAGCCCTTGGGGCCCTCCCCCCTCCCCCCACTCCTCCCGGGACGGCTGGCACCCTGCGCGGGGTCTTTGCAGCTTGCTGGAGGGCTTACTAAATGGTGGGAGGCAAGCCAAGAGGAAACCACGAGCTGGAGCCCAGGGCTTCTGGCCTGTGGTGGGCTCGGGGCTCGCCGCCCACCCCTCGGCCCCCGCATCTTCCCAGGTGGGGCAGGAAGGGGCGGCCCCTGCCTAGCCACGCGGGAAGCCCCGCAGCGGCTCTCTGGGAAAGGACACCCCAGCAAAGGCCCCCCAGTCATCAGTGGCTCCGAGTGCCAGAAAGGAAGAGCGGGTGAAGGGTCCAGGCGATGATTAAGCACCAAGGTTGCAGAGTCCCCGTGTCCTCTGCCGACAGACCGTCCGAGCACTCCAGGCAGCTGGTCCTTGCCACCTTTCCAGCCCAGTGCCACCCCCATCATCACCTCCCCCCACCGTCCACACTCCTCTTTCTCCAACCCCACCCTTCTCCCTGCTCTCACCTCCTCCAGCAGCAGGACCCACGGACAGGACCACGGGCGCCGCTGCCCAGCTCCGTGGCCCGTGCCTGAGGCTGCCGCCGCCGCCTTCACACCTGTTCCACACGGAACACAGGGCTCCGCCTCCCCGGCCAGGCGGCTGCTGCTCCTCGATGGGGACCTGCCCTAGGTCACCCAACACAGGGGAAGCCCAAGGCTCACCCGAGCCCCATTAACGAGCCGCTCCCCAAGGTCCCCGGCGCTACCGGCACACTGATGGGAGAACTGGTACACGTGCACATGCGCTTGCACGCACTCGTGTGTACAGGCTCGCACACGCTCTCATGCACATGCAGCCCTTCCTCCACCCGCTCACGGGGCACAGGCCTCTGGCTGAGGCTGAAGCAGGATCCCGGGGTGTTCGGACCCCTTGGGGCACGGTTCCTCCTGGGGCACCCAGGGCGGTGAGGGGGTCCTGCACCGGCTGGGGGGCCGAGCGGGGGACGGACGCGCTGCTCGTGGGAGGGGCGGAAGACGTCTGGGCCGCGAACCTCCCAAGGACCTTCCCTCCACACATCCCAACTCCCCCAGCGCAAGACAGAGCCCTGGAAACGGCCCTGAGCGAGGCGGCAGGGCCCGGGGGAAGGCGGGCCGCGTGGGCGCGTGCGTGTGCGGAGCAGGTGGCACTCGGGCCCCCGGGAACCTACTCTTTTCCAGCCCTGGTCCGAGCCCGGCACGGGTCCGCGATCTGACTCCGGCGTGAAGGGGTCCGCTCCCCGTGGGGCCCTCGACCAGCACCCCGCGCCCCCCGCCGGGCACTAGGAGGCGGCCGAGAAGGGCACGGAGGCGGAGGCGAGCTCGGCGGACTTGACGATGGTGATGACGCTGGTGGTGGCCACCCTGGTGGGCGTGACGGGGCCGCGGGCCACGGTGCGGGCGAAGGTCTGCAGGGCCTCGTACTTGGAGCGCAGGGCATCCAGCTCGAGCCTCATACTGCTGTTCTCGCGGGCCAGCTTCTCCACCTCGCGCTGCAGCTCCAGCCGCTGGCGCTCCAGCTCCTCCTTCTGGGTCACGCGCTTGATGCGGCAGCTGGCCGCGTAGCCGCGGTTCTTGAGCGTGCGGCGCCGCTGCTTCAGGCGGACCACCTCCTCCTTGGTGAGGCCGCGCAGATGCTGGTTCAGCTCCCGCACCGACATGGACACCAGCTCATCGTCGCCGAGCACCGGGGCGTTCTCGCCCGCCTCCTTCTTGACCTGTGGGGCCACAGCTCGTGGTCGGGGTGGGGACCGGAACACACACCACGGGCGCCAGGGCTCGGCCCCTTTCCCCTCTGCGCCCCAGGCCGGCCCGGCCTCCACCCTGGAACGGGGACGGGCGCCGCGGGGTCGCCTGGCATCGTGCACGCGGTACGGAGCAGGGTGTCCCCTGAGGGGGGGCCGTCGGCCATACCCGGCCGAGAGCCGGTCGCCCTCTGTCGCCCAAACCCCACGAGGACGCGGCCCGGCTGTGCTGCCCCGGGACTCTCCAGTGCCTGGTGCGGGGCTGGCGGCAACCCCTCCCTCTGCACCCCTCAGGCCCGTTAGGTCCCGCCAAGGCCGGTGGGACAAGGCTACGTGGACCCAGCGGGACCCCAGGAGGCGCCTGGAAGGGCACAGCCCACAGACGCACAGAGCGCTGACTCCGGCCAGACCCAGCCCTGCTCCTAAGCAGGGAAGCGGCCAGTCCCAGGGAGGCAGCGCCTGGCGCGGACCCACGGCACCAGGCCCGGAGCTGCAGCGCCCGCTCACAGGCACCCCACCAGGGGCTCTGCGGAACCAGACGCCACCCTGCCCACGTCCGGGGCTGGGCTGACAAGTACGTCTTGGCCGGCAGGCACCCACCCCTCCACCCCCAGACGCCAGGGCCGGCGTCTCCCGAAGCCACAGCCCGCGACTCCAGCATCACTTCTCCCAAAGGTACTTCCTCCAGCCCACGGCCCCTCCCCACGCCCGGTGACAGGCTTCCTTCCTCAACTCTAGGGCGGTCCTGGGACAGGGGCTTCGGGGGCCGGGAGGGACCTTCCCGGGCCTGTGCCCATCCCCCCCCCCCCTACCTTCAACGCCTTGTTCGCTTTGGGATTAGTCGTCATAACCTGGGTACAGTCACCCGGACAGAACCGCTTGGAAATGGTAACTGAAAATCACAGAGCACAGAAGCGAGTGTGATGAGTTCCTGACTGGGCACAGGTGACCCAAAGCAGGGACGACCCCCTGCAGGGATGCCCCGAGGAGGCTCAGCTCCCCGCTCTGCACTGTCCAGTCACAGAACCCTGCAAGCAGGGGCATCCTGGTGGTCCTGAGCCGCTGCCCAGGGGGCCCGGGAGGACACCTGCCCACACCCCCAACTCCAGCGGCGGCCCGAGAGCGGCCCGCATGCACCTTGTCTGGGGCCTGGCAGCCACACGGCTGTCCCACACTGCCCCCGCCCATGCCCCCGGGCCACGAGCGCCAGCGCCACGGGCTGGCACCGGGCAGAAGCAGTGGCTGCTTCCTGCTCTGCCTCCGGCCCCGAGCTAGACGTCTGCACCTGTGGCAGGACGCCATGTTCAGGGGTCCAAGTGCGCCGTAGCAAAGCCCCCTCCCGAAAGGCCACACCTAGCCCCTGTGAATCGCCACTGGCCCCAGGGACAGCCCCTGCCCTGGCAAGACCCCATCACTCTGGGCCCATCTGGCCCCCCAAGAGGCCAGGTGGGGAGCCCCTGGCTTGCTGAGCTCACCGTAATTACGGGTTGGGGGGAGCCCCGTGCCCGCCCTGGCCAGGCCCCACCCTCCCCAACAGACCTACCTCCGCCAAGGGCACTGCAGCTGTGACATCACCACCTTCACCTAGGCTGCCCCACAGCCATGACCTGAGGCCCAGAGCGTGGGCGGGGGCTCCCTACGCCAGCCAGCCTGCGACCAGGGGAGGTGGGAGCCACCACCTCCAGAGCTCACTGACCGTCTGGCGGGAGCCGTCTCTGCCGCCCGCCAGCCCCCGCCGCCCGCCCCGCCCTTCTCGTTTTCGCGTCTGCATTGTGTCACACATTCTAATCATTCATGAAAAAGCCAGCCAAAGCATCCCAAGCATGATTCCCCTCTGATAGTTGCCATGGCGACCTTGGGACGTAGCCAACCCCCGATGGTCGTCATGGAAACAGAGAAGCCCACAGCAACAATGGCTTGGGGCAGGCCGAGCAGACAGCGCAGGTTGTGGGGCAGCAAGCAGGCCCCTCGTGCCTGCGGCTGGGGAAGGCATGGGGAGGACCCGGCCCGACTCGCTGGTGTGCCGTGTCTCCAGCTTACAGGGTCGGGGTCTGCCCCCCAAGTTCCGAACGCCGGATGAGGTGAACTGAGCAGAGAGAACGTCAGAGAAACACCCAAGGAGGGTCTTGGGGCCAGAGATGGAGCCACAGCAAAGCCTCCATTCTCAAGGTGAGGGAGACCTGGGTGGACGGCCTTCTCCTGCAGCCCTGAGACCCTCGCTGTAGCACTGCCTGGACCCTCCACCCACCCACCCTGCCTCCGCGGCCCGCCACCCTTCACCACCAGAGGGTCTCAGCACCCAGGCCTCTGGACCCCTGGTCGCCCCCCGCAGCACAGCCACTCTCCAGGGCGCTGGTGCGGGAGAGCAGGACGGCAGCAGGGCCAGTGTGGCCTCCGGGGGGAGCCGTGCCCCTCTGTTCTCCTCGCAGCTACATGTGTGCTCAAGACAGACATGCAGCCGCTCCTGGGGCAATCCTAGTAGGGAAGTAAGAGCTGCTTCCTGACTCTGGCTTGACCCCTGGCATCTGGGGGGACCCAAGAGTGCCCCACGGGCCGCCCCTCCCTCCGGTGCAGGGGTCAACGCTGGGCTGGAGAAGCCACTAGGAGGGCTGGTGGGCCAGGCGGCTGTGAGGCCATGAGAAACTTCTCCAGGACGAGCGGCTATCATTCCAGCTCGCTCCCAGCACGCCAGGGCATAGCTGGGCGGTGAGTCACCAGCTGTTTACCGAGCTGGGCTCACATTCCCACAGACTGAGGCCCCCCCCCCCCCCCCCGGCCCGCCCCCCCCCCGGGGGAAAAGGGGGGAGGGGGGGGGGGGGGGGGGGGTGCCTCCGCTCGGACCCCCCGAGCAGACCCTCAGTAACATACCGGCCTGGCCAGGACCCGGGCACCTTCAGGGCAGGGACGCCTCCCCTGGGGACCTGCCCACCGTGACACTGCCTGGTGGGTCGCCCATTCCCAGGATGTACATAGGCCTGGGCCTCAGCACCCCGTGGGCTCGGCCCCCTGCCCTCTGCACAGGTCCCACGAGCATTAGGCGCCCTTGTCCACCAGGTCAAGGTCGCCCAGGCAGACCCTCAGGCTACGTCCACCGGCTCTGAGCCCACCTCGTCCACCACCTGGGCTACTGGGGCCCAGGACCACGGGCGAGGAGCCCCGGCAGAGACGGGAGAGAGTGGTCCGGCTGGGGTCCCAGCCGGGGTCTGACCTCAGGGAGCTTTCCTCAGTTCTCAGACCTTCTGTGTCCAAGCAGATGGCGCGAATGCGTGTAAATATGGAGCCGAGGGGCTGGTCACCCTCTCTCTGTGGGTCTCGATCTTCCCTTCTGAAAAATGAGGGGATCAGAACCAAGGGCCCCAGTGCCAAATGTCCTCAGCTGGGCCACGCAGGTGACGCCGTGAGAGACACTCCGGCCGAGGGCCGCGCTCTCAACGCCCCCGGGCTGCAGGGCCTGTACCAGCACCCCGGCCCTGCGGAAAGGTGGCAAGTCCAGGGCGGGAGCAGACACCCACCGCCCTGCTCAGCATCATGACCCCCACTGCCTTGGCTTCCGCCCCCTCCTCAGGGACCTGCTCCTCCCGGCCCGGTGCCTGCCCAAGGGGCTCACACCAAAGTCAGGCCCAGGGGCAGAGGGCCCTTCTGCAGACTCGGCACAGGGACAGGAGCGGCACGGTTACTCACCTCTCGCCCAACACCCAAAACACACAAAGTATCGACCTCACATCACTTCTGACTTCAGAAAAACAGCTCGCTCTTGGAAAGACGTTCGGAGAAGAGTTTTGTAGGTGTAAAGAAGAGTTTACAAAACACCTGATTTTGAAACAACTGCCCTAAAAGGGTATTTGTGAACCACGGAACATCAGGCAACCTCATGGGCCAGCAGAGCTCACACAGGACGAACTGCTTTCTGGGACTCGGCTGGAACCGGCTGGGGTGGGAGACAACAGCTGGGCACGGGCAGGGGTGCCCAGTGCCGCCGCATCGGAGCCTGGTCACCCCACACGTCTTTCCAACAGCCCCGCACAAGGAAGGATGCCCGGGCACTGCCGCCGAGTAACAGAACCTGGCGACACACGTGCAGAGAGCCCTTGGGCTCGTTCTGGTGGGGTCACCCCAGAAGCTCGGTGGCCAGCGCTAGGCTGGGAGCCCGGATGGCGGGGCTGCCCTCCGCTCGCCCCCTCCCCAAGCCCTGAAGGAGCTGCTGGGCCAGACAGCGTGCAGCCAGCACTTCTACCCCAGAACACCTTCCAGGCGACCGTCAGCCTAACTAAGGCTGGTTTTCAACCCAATGGAAACTCCATTCTCACGTACAGCTGAACACGGAAGAGGGCTTCCTCTCTAGGAAAAGGGAACCCCAGCAGACTAGATGGAGGCAATTCAGATAACCGCGTGGTCTGGAGGGCCTTCGGGGGCTGCGGCGTCCCTCCCCTTCCGGGCCCATTAGGAACAGGGCAGGGCAGGGCAGCCAGGTCTGACAGTTCAGGATTGCTCTTCCGGAAGGCAGGTGGGCCTGGGCCAGGACCACTTCTTACCTTCCCTCTCACAAACCCCTTCCTCGGTTGTGACCTAGCTCCTGAGGTGACTCACGGCCTGGCCGTCCCCCGTGTGCTCCGGACCTCGAGCGGCTGGGCCGGGGTCCAGGGCCCGGGGGACATTTTCTCCATCACGGGAGCCAGTGGCTGACAGGAGCACTGACCCACCCGAACAGCCCCGGGTTTGGATTACCTAGGAGCAAGGGAGGTTCTAGAGTTTCAGATTCGCGCCTAGACTGGACGGCTAGCCCGCCTGCCCAGATCGTGAGCCTGCGCATGAGAAGCCGCGTCTCTGATACCGAGCAGGGTGGGCCCTCGAAACACTGCTCCTGTCCGGCCCGTGCCCGTGCCCCTCAGCCCAAGACAAGCAGACGGAGCAGCCCTGCCATTCCCAGGCCTCGAGGGTGTCAGGTCAGAGGAGGGGGAGGAGGAGGCAGGGCAGGTTCCCACTCCCGCAGCCGAGAGCGAACCCCAAAGCCAGAAGCCACCGCGATGCGGCGGCCCCCGCTCTGGCCGCACAGTGGGCACCCATCTGCCAAACAAGCACACATTGACTCATCCCACGAACCAACGAGCTGAAGACAGGTCCCAGGACCAGAAGGGCTCCCACCGCCTGGCCCCAGCTCCCCAAGACGGGGTGTGTGTCCTGCCGCACCTCTACGCGCACCCCACCAGCCCGGCCTGCACCCAGCCTCCAGGCTGGCCCTGGCTGGCCGCCCTCCGGCAAGACGTGACTGTCTGCCTGCCTCGGAGGACGTCTGGTCACCTTGCCTTTGCAGCCCGAGGAAGCTGTGTCATCCTGGCTACGTCCAGAGGTGACTCAGGCAGCTGCCGGGCTGACAGCAGGTGGAACGCCGCCCCGCACCCGCCACGCCCCGTGCCCCTCTGCTCCTGCCACAGAGCTTCAGGCCAGGCCCTGATCCCCTCAAGCCCCCGGGGGGTCCCCTTCTGGCTTCTGCTCTCCCCCAGCCCAGCTGTGCCATGCAGGGCTCCAACCAGCCCAACCTCCAAGTCCAGCCCAGGATGCCCCTGGAGAACCCACAGCCTGCACGGGCCCCGGAGGCTCACCCTCTCTCCAAACCTGCCCTCCTCCTGGGTCTCCAGCTCAGGTGATGATGGCCCCCCAGGCCTCACCTCTCCTTCCATGCCCACCTGCTAGGCTCGGCCTGCATCACCCTGTAGATGCTCCGGCCCTACAGCACCGCCTGGGCTCAGGCCCCCTGCGTCTCGTCTGTATTCCTATCTTGGTCCCTCAAATGCAGCCCCTCCAAGCAGGCAGAGGGAGCCCCCCTGGTCAGAGTCCCTCCTGAGCCCACCTCTCTCCTGACCACCTGTTGCCATGCCAGCCCCCCCCCAAATCTGTGCTGGGTACCCTCCCACTTCTGAGCCCCCTGCCCTCCCCTCCCCCAACCCTGGCATCACCAGAAAGACTCCCCTGCCTTCCCTGTGGTTAGGTGGGTGCCCCCTCCTGAGCACACATCAAGGGCTGAGCCCAAGACCTGGTCCTTCTGTCCAAGCCCTGCCCCCCTCGCTGGATGGAGAGCAGCGGACCCTCTTACCTACCTGCTCCCCCACCCCCACCCCACTCCTGGCAGGTGAAAGGTCTGCCACATAAGCAAGTGCGTTAGCACTGCACTGAAGGGAGGGGGCCTGGGGCGGCTTCCACCCCATCTCCTCTCTGCCCCCTGGCCCAGGGCACCCAGACAGGCAGCGCAGAAAAGCAGGCAGGTGCTGCACAGACCCCGGACACGGGGCCCCGCCCCACAAGCCGGCGAGGAGGCTCGGGGCTCAGTTTCCTCACATAAAATGGAGTGTGTGTGTGTGTGTGTGTGTGTGTGGACTGAGACCACACAGGTTCATTTCTACCTGCTCTAGAATCCTACAATTTTAAGGTGACACTTTCAATTTCCTGAAACTGTAAGAAAGAGGAAACATGACGAGTCTGTGACTTATAAAAAGCAAAAGTAAATAGCGGAGCAATGCATCTTCCATTAGCAGAGAACAGGGGGGCGGGGAGCAGAGGGGAGGGTGAGTCACTGTTTACTGCTCTGAGGAGCGGCTACACAGAGGACGCTCCCAGCTGGCCGGGGCTCCATTTCCCGTGTGGACTGGACCCGACATCCAGAAAGTCCGTCCAGAAACCTTTAGACTCGGGAACAGCCAGGACACGGGCAGGAATTCTAGGTTGCCCGAGATTGTAAACAAACTCTGCAGCTATGGCAGAGCCCGAGAGTGAAAGAATGCACCGCGGGGGACAAAGAATGGTCCGGAAAACGACCTGGCTCCGAGGCAGCCTCAGCTGCAGGGCTGGAAAAAGGGCTGGGACGCAGCAAGCCCCGGAGCCGACTTCCCCAGTAGCCTCGATTCAACTCCCATTTTTAGCAACCACCTTGAAAGTGAGCGATGCTGAACTTGGAAGCCAGCCCTTAAAGGCCAGCTATGCTCACGCACAAGAGGCAAAGGCACTCTGGGAAGAAGACTCACTTGTGGTTCTGAGTTAATAAATGTTTTATTTTGGAAGAGCGAGAGGTCTAGCTTTAAGTCATAAAAGCAGACACCCTCTACCGAGCTCAGACGCAAACATTCCTACTGGACCCAGGGAGAGAAGTTCTCCGAAAGGTGTCAACCACCCAGGATGCAACAAGCTGCAGGTGTGCCCCACCCACAGCACAGCCCACCTTCAGCTTCCCAGGCCCTCCCACCCGCTTAGGCAAATGCTTTTTTAAAAAGCGCCATCCCCCTGAAGACATCAGGCTTCGAGACCGGGCTCCAGAGACAGCACACATGGCACACAGCCGTACTTCATTAAGACACCTGTGCAGCAACCGCTGTGCGGGCAAAACCTCGCCAATGCCAATAAAGGGGCAAGGGGAGGGCAGTGGGGCCGCCAAGCCACACTGCGGGGGAGCCACTGATCTGTCACTACGGGCTGGGTGTGGGCACGCGAGTCGCGGGAGCTCCCCGAGTGAGGCCAGGCACCTGGCAAGGGGGTGGTGAGTGCTGGTCAACTCTGAATGAACTGTTAGGGAGAAGAGCTCACTTCTGCCTGGGGTACCAGGGCCGTGGGGAAGGTAAACAAGAGCGTAATCATTAACACACGAAAGAGATCAGGGGACTTCCAGCAACCCGAACCGAGTGCTCCGGGAATGTGGGCAGAATGTGGGCAAGTGCCGCTTGGGTGAAGACTCCAGGACACGTGGCGCGTGAGGATACTACAACGGGAGACAGGAGACGGAGGGCAAAGCGATGTGCTTTTCCAACGCAGACCCGGGGCCATAGCCCAACACTTCCCTCCCTCCCGGGTTCCGGAGAAGGTGTGTGGAAGCAGGCAGACTACTGACACATCGCTTGTGTCCTGAACTCGGAAAAGGCACCGAAGGACCCGCATTTCCAGTGAGAAGGGATGGAGACACCCCATTCACAGAGGAGAAAAATGAGCCGCGAGCCATGGGGTTCGGGAAGTGACGCGTTCGCCGTCCCCCTCCCCACCCCAAGCTCCCACACCGAGGCCTCCCTCCGTGAGCCCCGGCAGGTCGGCTGCTCGGACCGCGACCTGGTCGGCGAGGCCCCTTCTCTCCGCCCTGACCACCCTCGGCGCGGCGAGGACCCGGGCGCGGGCAGCGCAGGCCGGGCCTGAGCGCCGCCGGGGCGGGACCGCGCGGACGAGCCGGGCAGCGCCCGGGTGCGCGAGGCCCGAGTCGCCCCGGTCGCCACGCGCTCCCCGGCACGTGGCCCCTGCTTCCCCCGGAGCTTATCTCCGGGGCCTGAGAGCAAAACAGGTGGGGCGAGCCGGGAGGGGGCACCGGGCCCGCCGGAACGCCGCGCTCCCCACCCGGCCCTCTCCCGGCCCGCCCTGCGCCCGCCGCCTCCGGACACGGGGTTGGGGTCCGGGGTGCGCTCCCCTCCCCAGAAGGAAGGCCCCCAGCCCGCACGGCGCTCTCGGGACGGGACACCTGACGGCAGGTGCGCCGGCCGGGTCGGAGTCCCAAGGTCCGGCCCAATTTGGTCACGGGTCCGAGGGGGCCGTGACTCAGCGGCTGGCGCCCCCCCGCCCGGTCCCCCGGCCCCAGGCCCCTGGCCCAGCCCTGCCCGGCAGATCCTCACCTGGCGTCGCGCGGGGGGCGCGGGCGCGCGGCGGCTCCTCGCGGGCACGCGCTCTCCTCGCGCTCGCGCTCACTCTCGCGCTCCCCGTCGGCCACCGCCTCCGCCGCGCGCTCCGGCTCGGACTTCGCGAAGAACAACAAGTCCCCCCCGCCGCCCACCGCCCGCCGCCAGCCCGCCCGCCCGGCTCCCTAGCATCTGACACCGCTTCCGGGATCGGCGTCGGCGCGCGTCACGCCGCACCGCCCACCGCGCGCACCGCCCCCGCCCACCCGCCGCGCGCGCGCCAGCGCCCCGCCCACCCGAGGCACCGCCCGCTGCCGCGCGCCGACGCCCCGCCCCAAGGTTCCTACCACCCAGAGGCTCCGCCCCCGCGCCCACCTGTGCAAGGCGGGCGGGCGGTACCTATGACCGCAGGTGCAGTGCGCGCTGCGTGGTGGCGGCCCCGGCGTGCCCTGCGCCCCACACGTGGCGGCAGTCGTCCCCATACGTCGAACCGAGCCGGGAGCACCCCCATTCTCCCTCGAGCTCGCCCTCTCTCAGCTCGGGGGAAGGGCAGGCTCCTGTTTGGACTCCACATTCGTATTCTCCAGTTGGCCTCCCCTAACCCTAAACCTGAACACCCCACCGCCCACCCCCGCGCATCCCTTAGCCTCACCAGGGCCCTCGGAGACCCCGCCCTCCCCAGGAGTGATCGCAGCGGAAGCCCGTGTCTGGGGACGGTCTAGTGGTCTTATCACAAGAGGAGATGGGTCCAGGGACACACACACCTCCCTGTCTGTGGGGTAGGCCGGCCCCACAAATGAGGAAAGGGCACCCGGCGTCCCCTCCTGATAGGCGCCCCTATCTTTCTTTTGATTTCCCGTCTTGACCAAGATATGCGTAAAGAGAACTACTACTCTTCTATTGGAAAGAGAACAACATAAAATGGTGATAAATGGCTTCAACCCATAACCTCTATGTCTAGGGGTCCAAGACCCTTGGAACAGTGCCCACCTAAGGCCCAGCTGATGGTTGCCATGGGAAAACAGACCCAGCAAAGGCAGAACCAGGATGCTTCCCCGGCCTCAGGTCAGGGCCACCCCAGGAGAGGAGAGCCTCCGCGTGCTGCAGATGGAGGACAAAGCTGGGGAGGTGACCCGTCCAGTCACACGGCCTGGCCCACTACCCCCTCCCCAGCATTTGGATGGGAGGCCAAGCCCCTGGACGGTTTCTGGATCCTTCTCAGAAATAATAATGAGGCCACAAGTCTGAGTTCTGAGTAGAGAACAGGGAAAAATGCCAAGGCTCTGGGAGAGGGGGGCAGGCCTCCCACCATCTCAGGCCGCTCAGGGAACGGGAGAAAGTACTGAGAGGTTTGCAGGTCTTGCGTTTGCAGCCGGTACCACGGGTGGGCTTCCTTCTGAGTGACCTGCTCTGCTGGGGCCCCCTGGCCTCGTGGGGCAACCAGGCACACTGGAGCTTGCTGCCAGCCTCAACAGGAACGGCTGCCAATAAACACAGCGGCAGCAGCAGTAGCCCATCTCTCCAGGATGTTTTCAGAGCCGGAATTTGAAAGGTGTTTCCCCTTCCCTTAGCCCACACCCTCTGTCCTCAGAGGCTGTTGCTTTGTGGCCCTCTCAGCAGGACACCACAGTGAGTGATCGGTGTAACTGACTCTCTCCTCGCTGTTCTCATTTCCCTAACTGGACCGCAGTCTCTTCATGTAACCTTTGGTTACTAAGAGCACTGTCTAAATAGTCTCATCAACATCAGGAAAGCAGGGCCCGGGGAGGCTGCATTAGGGTGGACCTGGGAGAGAGATCACACCTGTGCTGGAGCCGTTCGCATCGGTTCACTTCTGGGTCTTAGTTTCCTCGACTGTAAAATGGGCTTGGTAAACAAACTTATTTACAAAACAGAAACAGACTCACAGACTTAGAGAAGGAACTTATGGTTGGGGGGGTGGGGGGCGGGGGGGCGTCGGGGAAGGAGCTGGGGAGGGAACGATTGGGACTTTGGGATTGACGTGTACACACTGCTGTATTTAAAATAGATAACCAGGGGCTTCCCAGGTGGCGCAGTGGTTGAGAGTCCGCCTGCCGATGCAGGGGACGCGGGTTCGTGTCCTGGTCCGGGAGGATCCCACATGCCGCGGAGCGGCTGGGCCCGTGGACCACGGCCGCTGGGCCTGCGCATCCGGGGCCTGTGCT